TTATACAAATTATATATTCTCCATTTTTATTCCACAATACTAATATATATGTAGGGTGTTAAATTGAACTCCTTATGATGGATTTCAGGAAGGACACATTTTCCTGAGATTAACTATTTTTAGTGCCCAAAACGAAAAAAAAAAAAAAAAAACAAATTCTTCAATGGTGTGTTATGATTTTTACAATGGATAAAAATATCGAACAAAGAATTTGTCTCAAATTTTGTACTTCCAAGCAAATTCCGTGTGTAGAATCATTGGGAAAGTTGGAAAAGGCTTAAGGTGATTCAGTTTTATCAAAAACACAAGCCTACTAGTGGTAAAAAGCCTTCAAGGACGGTCGAAAGATCGTTGACGACATGCCTCGTTCTGGTCGACCTTCGACATCTTCAACGGATGGAAAAATTTAAAAAGTAAACGATATGGTGCTTTAAAATCGTCAGGCAAGTGTTAGAGAGATGGCAAGTGAGCTCGACATCTCTCACGACTCCGGTCGAATGAGTTTGGTGGATATTTTGAGTATGAAATGCCTTCTTACTTGACTCGTTCTTATTTTTTTTTAAATTTTTTTTTATCATAAAAACAGTAAAGTAAACAAGTCTTTTGGAACATTCTCAATCGTTCGAATTTCAATCCCACATTCATGGAGCGCATTTCAATTGTTGATGAGACATGGGTTATATAAGTTTGACATGCAAACCAGTCAACAACAGTCCGAATGGACGACGGAAAAAAGGAGTCGAAAAAAAAAAAAATCATTATGAATTTATTCTGAAGAGACAGACGGTCAATAAGGAGTTTTATTTAACCGTATTGAGGCGTTTGCGTGAGAACATCTCTTGGAAATGGCCGGAATCGTGGAAGATCAATCCCTAGATTTTACCCAATGATAATGCACCATCGCTTTGAGCCACAATTGTGACCGAATTTAAAGCCAAAGGCGCAAGGAATTGCACAGATCAACCACACCATTCACCAGATTTGGGTTCGTGTGATTTTTGTAGTTACCCAAAGAAAAATTGTCCCTCCGTGGAACTTGTTTCCTGTAAACCTAAGAGATAAAAAACAAAATTTAGCAGAGGGAGCTGAAGGCAATCCCAAAAAGTTCTTATGAAAAGTGTTTTGAGGGCTGGAAAAATCCTTGGTATAAGTTTATTACATCTAGTGGAGATTACTTTGAAGGCGACAAAATAAATATAGATGAGTTGGTAAATATTTTGCGTTCTACTGACGAAATCCGGATACGTTTATGTCACAATGAAATGTATAAGTTAATTTTAAGCCGATATACTGGTTGAAAAAAATATATTTCTGGGAAATTCCTTGCAAAATTAAGAAAAAAACGTGAATTTCGTTGAAGCTACAGCATCTAACAGGGATGATATGATTTTGACGTCCCTAGTGCCGATGTTTGCTTACGGTTTTGTGTCAAATTTTGTCCGTGTACTATTGAGTCAAATCCTCTTGTGTTTCAGGAGAGGCTATTGCATCCCCAAAAATTTACCGTTTGCTGCGGACCGTGGTCATCGGACCTTATTTCTTCTGAAATGAGGCAGGAAATGCAGTTAACATCAATAGTGAGTGTTATAACGTGAGATTTGATGATATCGATTCTATTTCTTTATTTCACGAAAAAATATTATCTCTTGAAAAATATACAAACCAATTTAAATGGAGTAGAGTCGTTTTAAGGCTATAAAAGCGACTGCTAGTCACTACATTTAACTAACTTTTTGTAATTGTAATATATATATATTTTTCTAAAATATACAATACTAGTAATGAATACCTATGGGAGCATATTTCTACTCCATTTAGAATCGCACTATTCACACAGCCACAAAAAACAGACAAAAAACGAAACAAACAAAGACCGGAAATTGCAGTGCAATAACTACTCAAAGTCATCAATAACCCGCAACACACACACACACACACACGCAGATGTGCAATGCCAACTCCGTATGCAAGTGCAAGGCCACATAGAAAGGTTCAGCCACAAGCGGGTGTCTTCAAGCTCACGATATATTTTGTTTGTGGGATGTGTTTGCAGGGCGGACAGCCATATTTCCGCTTGACTTGCAATTTGGGGCACGTTGGTGGCAAAGTGTGTGTGCGTGGTGCAACGAATGCAGTTCACCATGCCGAGCCGCCAATGAAGCGCTATTCAAATAGTGAATTATTTCCGTACACACTACGGCAGTTGCAGTGTTGCAAGTTGCATTTGTGGCATGTCTAGTCCTTGTGACGCCTAGTCGAATGCATAACCTTTTTGCTTCCCTGCAGTAAGCCAGCTTTAACGGGCGCTTCTTTTGTTTGGAAGGAAATGCTGGCGTTAGAAAACATGTGCGAGAGATTGTGGTTGGAGGAGATGGTGGAGCAACTTTTTGGCTATTGCAGTGGCAATTGTTGTTTGAAAGTTTTTCGGCTGCAGACGATTTATCAAAACTAACCGTCTGCCTTACACCGTGCGGGCGCAGTCATGTGCAAAAAAGATATTTTGTTGTATTGTTTGGTAAATTTCATTGTTATGATAGCATCTTTACGCTTGGTTTAATTATACATAAATATTTTAAATGAATTTAGTACTTCAAGTGGAAATAAGTCGAAGTCTTTCGAAATCAAAATTTTGTTTTAGAAAAAAGAGAGTTTTAAACATATTTTTTGCTCTCAGCTGGCGCTAAGACTTCGTATGCCCCTTTTGTCTAAGCCACAAAAGTGTCCAAAGCACCGTTTCCTTGAATAAAGACCTCTTTGTTACAAAATACCAACAAAAATAACTGGTATTCATTCCAAGTTTCAATTTAGCACAGAGTAAGCCTTCGTTTTTATTTGGAGTATAAATAATTCGCACTGACAGCCTTGTAATCCTCAATTGCTATTTTTACCGCTTGGTGTTCCATAAGTTCAATTCTTTATAGTCTTATGTTCCACAAGCACATTAATTCATAAGCTTGTGTTTCGGAAGTTCAGTAATTCACAGATTCAACCTTCAACTTGTTTCGACTTCACTCAAAGGCAATTCACATACATACATACACTTTCTAAATATGATCATTTTAAGATATATAGTAAGCTTCGTCTACTTTTACAGAGTTTTGGAAATTATATGGAGCTGGCTAATGTCAGTTTCGGGTATGTTGTCTGGTTCACCGCCCATAAGACGACTGAGATGTTACAGGTTTAGCGTTCGACAAGATTTTTTGTTTTATAGGATGAATATCTATTGAACAGTGCTCTGTAAGAACTCCTACGATAGCGGTAAAATGAACTTTTCTCAGGGCAAGTAGTTCAGCAGATCGCATGAGCTCGACTCTAGGTTAAAAGGGTCTTGTAGTTGCATAAGAGCTAAGCACACTTGAGCTCTATTGGTTCAGTTCTGCAACGCAATAAGCCAGTGGAGATGCAACTCGGTCACATTCCCCTCAAGCTACTTGGTAACTCACAGCAATTTGATTTGATAATATTCATTTTCTCAAAAAGCTAGTAATAGCCTTTAGGATATCGGCAATTTTGGCAAGTAAATAAAAATTATGATAATAAAAATAAGCTAAATAGGGTTCTTTTTTGCAAAAACGGAGAGAAAGTAAAACAATTTCGTTTCGACTTCATTTCTTTAAGTAAATGTAGTAAGCTTTATATTCGTAAGATTGTGAGATATCGATCTGAAATGCTTTAAACGACCGCTTCTCTTCAAGAAGCTGCTTCTTCGTCGAAATGCCGGTGTCGGTCAAATATTAGATATAGCTACCTTATAAACTAACCGATCAAAATCAGGTTCTTGTATGGAAAACTTTTTTATTTGATAAGTTATCCTTACGAAATTCTGCAAAGATTGTGCCTAAAGTAAAGGTACAATCTCCGAAAAAATTCTTGAAATCGAATTACTATAGCAAATATGTACGTGCCATATAAACTGATAGATCGAAATAAAATTTTTATATGGAAAACTTTTTTATTGGACAAAATATGTTCACGGAACTTGGCATGGACTGTCCTCCAAGGCAGCGCTATAGTTTCCGATATATTGCTCAGATCGGTAACGATAGTATATAGCCACAACGCACACTTATCCATCAAAATGCGCCCAAAATTAAGGATTTTTTACGCATAAAGATACACAAAAGTGAACGGTATCGCACCTAAAACTCTTCAATTGATACACTACATAGTTCGTCAGGTCTTGCAGAGTCGTCGTTTATATGACATAATCAATTTAAAGCCTACTTAGGGAGTTCGCAATGCCTAAAGGTTTTTTTTTGTAATTGAAATTTGAAAGTCAACGCGCAAGCTAAATGGGCGACATGCTCACATATGTGAATATGTGTGCGTAAAACAATATGTGTCAGCGCTCACAAGCAGTTGTAGCTTAGATTTAATAGTCCAACAATTACCTTTTATTAGAGACAAAACAATTAAAGACACTGAAATCGGCGCAGACACGGCCGACATTCGCTGCCACAATAAAATTTTCGCTGATTTTTATCTACGAGCGAGCTGTAGACACTTAATACAAATGCTGTCTGCACAATGTATGTATGGATGTATGTATGTAAGTATGTGATTGTACTTTTATTTACTCTAATTGAAAGTTAAGTCAAGTTTAAGACACAAGTGGACAAACACGTGAAGAAAAGGGCCAAGGCCGCGAGCAAAGCATATCTCGGCTTAAGTGTGACACAAATCGAAAGCCAGTTCGCGGCAGCGCCACGCATCGACCGCCGACCACCGACCGACCACCAGCCAACACTGGCGCACAATTAAATCGTAAAATAAACGAAAGACAACAAAAACACGAGAAAAAAAAGCGTTTAAGAAAGTTGTGAAAAAGGCGGCTATGCCCACATATCTCCAGCATACTTATGTACATATATATGCGCAAACAGACAACAACAACACTTATGTGTGCCATAAAAACATGTTTACGGCTGCGCTTCTGCTACGCTTATGTGCCTTTTTATGTGTGTATGCGTGTGTGCGCACTTTCGGTGGCAACTCACCTGAAAGATCATATAACCCGAATCGTACATCCAAAAATCCTCCGGGGTATGACCGGGTTTGCTCAGCTGTATGGCGAGACAGCGCTGTAATATCAGCCGACAACGTTGCGGTCCACCAGGCGATTTCGTACCCATTGTGTTGCTGTTGTTGTAGTTGTTGACGATGAAAATATTGTCGCTTTATGATTTAAACACTGCTGTTAAGAATTTACACTTGAATATTTATTTGCACTTTCCTCTCTTTTTCCTTTTTATATATATGTGTGTGCGTGAAATTTCACTTTCTTAACATGAGGGTGTGGGGGGACTGGCTGGCAGTTGCACTTTTTGCATTACAAAAAGTATTTGATTTGTTGAGTTTTTTATGCCGTTTTGGGTATATTTTTAGGGGTTGGTTATATTTTGGGTATATTTCGAATATATTTTTGGGTCTGTTTTTAGATTTTAGTTTAAATTTGTTTCGATTTTAATTAATTATTTTTAAATATTTGAATTTCTTTTCTTATTGTTTACTGTATTTTTTCTTTCGATTTGGGTATATTTCTACAGGATTCAAGTATATATTTTTAGTTTTTGTTTTAAATAAATTTTTATTTTAGTTATAATTT